AGCTTCCGTTGAGAAAATTTCGTACGAAAATGAAACACAATTTCATTCCGGCGAAATAGCCAAATACGTTTCATGCAAAACCGTGTTCTAATTTTCCTGCGTCACTATCCACTTTTTATATGAGAATTTTCTCTCATCTCACCATAGAGTAGTCGAAGAAATAAATAATATAAAAAAATTAAATTAGATTTTAAAAAAATATTTTATTTTATTTTATAATATATATATATATATATATATATATATATATATATATATATATATATATATATATATATATATATATATATATATATATATATATATATATATATATATATATATATATATATATATATATATATATATATATATATATATATATATATATATATATATATATATATATATATATATATATATATATATATATATATATATATATATATATATATATATATATATATATATATATATATATATATATATCAGATAACAAACTGTATTATTAACTCTTTTTGAATGATAACATTCTTTTTTAAATTGATCTTCATAAATATAAAAAACAACATTGTTATTGATATGAAAGCTTTTTTGAACTTTTTATAGAAAATTTATTGTCTATAGAATTAAAAGTCAAAAATGTCAAATTCAAAAAATATAAGTAGATTGAGAGTTAGGATATAAATATTTGAAGTATGTTGCAAATACATACCATACTTCATTTCACATTTTTTGAATTCTAAATGTTTGAAAAATAAATTAATTTTCAGATTCTAAGCCCTTACAACTTATTTTAGCTTGTGCAAAGTTTTATGCAGCTTGTACACATTCTCTTATTTATTATCTATCATAAATTCAAGAGGTTGTAATATAAGCTTCTTCTTGCAATGAGGCAGTTAGAAAAGCTTATTTTACATATAAATGTATCGGAGGTCAATTCTTATATGCAGCTATAGCAACAATCAATCTTATGGTTTCATGTCTAACTATAGGTGCAAACACTTCAAAGTAGTCTAAACCAACCTTTTGTAGGAATTCTCTAGCTACTAACCTTACTTTATACTTGGCAACTGAACCATCTGACTTTACCTTTATTTTAAAAATTCATCTCATACTAATGACTTTCTTGTTCTTAGGTAGAACAATTAATTCTCATGTCTTGTTTCTTTCGATTGCCTCAAGCTCTTCCTTCATGGTGTTCACTCACACATTCTTCTTGAGTGCCACATTAATGTTGACAGGTTCATAGTCTACCATCATGACACACTATATGACTTCTCCTTCAGAACCGTTCTTAGTATCAAGCTGTAAATCAAAGTCAGCAAGTCTTCTTGATATCTGTCTAATTCTCTATGGCCTTTGAAACTGTGCAAGTTCACCTTCAGAGGCAGGTCCACCATCAAAGGTAAGGCCACCTTCAGATGTTGGATTACCTTTAAAGGCTGGATTACCTTCAGTGGCAGAATTACCTTCAGAGCTAGACTCACCTTCAGAGTCAGAGTCACCTTTACATTGAGACTCATCTTCGGAGTCAAACTCACGTTTATAGACAAAATCTCTTTCAGAGGCAAAATCTCCATTAGAGGTAGAATTAGACTCTAGAGTTGACACTGCACTAGAGTTGGATTTAGACGTATTCCAATCCCATGTTTCTGATTCTTTTAGTATGACATCTCTATTGACTTCAACTTTGTTGGTGACTGGGCAATAGAGTTTATACTCACGTGTAAAGTGGTAACCTATAAGTAACATGACTCTACTTTTATCATCTAATTTCCTTCTATTAGCATATGGAATATGTTTGTAACATACATAAGCAAACACCTTAAAATGGTTCACAGTTTGCTTTCTTCCAGTCCATTTCTCAATATGAACAACTTCATTTAATTTCTTTGTTAGACATCTGTTGAGCACATATGCTGACGTGGCAATTGCTTCACCCCATAATGTGTAAGGTAAATTATTTTCTTTCAACATGCTCTTTGACAGGTTAAATAGAGTTCTATTTCTCCTTTCAGCAATACCATTGTGAAGTGGAGTGTATGGAGCAGACACCTCATGCTTAATTCCATGCTTCCCACAGAACTTCTTGAACTCTATTGAATTGAACTCTTCGCCACCATAGGTTTAGAGAACTTTCAACCTTTTCCCACTTTGATTTTCAGCTTTCACTTTGAACTTCTTAAATTCAGCAAATACCTTGTATTTGAACTTTATGAGTGTTACCCATGTCATTCTTGTGAACTCGTCCACAAATGACACGAAGTAATTCTTTTTTTCAAGTGAAAGTACCTTAAATGGCCCATATACATCAAAATGCACCACACCTAAAGCATGAGTTACTCTTTAAGGTATTTTTGATTAGAATGACAATCTTGGTTACTTGTCTCTCATGCATATATCACATAATTCCTCTGGTGCCACAATCTTTAGAATTACATGTACCAGATTCTTTGAACTCAGATGCCCTAAGCTTCTAAAGTCCATATGTCATAATCTCTTGTGTCTAAACTCACTTTCCCCTTTAACACTTGTTGCACTAAGGTATTGAGTGTCTGTTGTTGCAAAATTCACATTGAATATTTTAATTCTTCCTAATTCATAATGCATAATAAATTTTTGATTATAGTCATACAATTTCAAGAGATTGTCCTTCATGGTTACTAAAAAAATATTTTTCAAGCAGCCGACATACACTCATCAGATTGCTATTCATGCCAGAAACACACCATACATTCTTGATCAATACAGTTTTGTCATTATTCAATTTTACTTTGACGTTTCCAATTCCTTCAACATTCAGATACTCATCGTCAACACATCTGACCTTGGTATTTCTACTAGAGTCAAAATCAACTAGTCATTGCTTGTTTCCAATTAAGTGATTTGAGCGGCCAGTGTTCATATATCATCAGTCCACCATTTTTTAAACTATATTATCATATGCCATCAATTGCATAGGTTCATCATTAGAATCTCCTTTGGCTATGTTGGCTTCTTCACCCTTTCTAATCTTGTTTGACCAACAATCAACATTAATATGGCTCAACTTGTTGCAATTGTAACATCGGACCTTTCTCTTATCAAACTTCTCCTTTTACTTCTAAACACTTTTATGTTTCTTCTCATATGGATTTGAGAGTCCTGACTTCTGAACACCACCACCATTCTTTTTCTTGCTCTCTAACCAGGTTTGCTTCTGGTTATTTTTTTACAAAAGAAGCTTCCAGAATCTGAGCTTTTAGAGCCTGTTCTATTTCCCTTTCAGAGTTTCTTTCAGTCAGACACAATTTTTATGGCTCTAAACTACTCAGACGCTCTTTAATTTTCATGGTGCTAGTGTCTTTGGAATGTTCTATGACTATAAATATGTAATCAAACTGAGAAGTAAGTGATCTTAGTACCTTCTCAATGATTATTTGTTCAGAGAGCATTTCACACAAGATTTTATCTCATTCATGACCATAATCACTCTGCAGATGTAATCAGACACCTTTTCAATGTTCTTCATGTTGATATTCTCATATTACTTGTGTAGGGATTGCAACTCCACTTTCTTCACTAATGTGTCGCCAGCATAGCACCGCACAAGTGTATCTCACGCTGCAATCTTCTCAAATGCATTCATATCCACATACTGATGGATATAGAACAACGCCTTCTGATCTTTCTTCCATGTTTCACGTTGCGTATGTCTTTGCACTTCTATTGCATTTTCTACAACTAACGTGTAACTGTCAATGACGAGATCAATAACATCTCGAGCGGCAAACAACACATGCATCTAAATCGACCGCCGATTACAATTCTTATTCGTCGGATACTTGAAGTTTTGTATTAAAACTACCGTTTTTGCTATTCATCTTCGTTCTTGTGCAAATCACTCAGTTCTCACCAACACTCGTGTTTTTTAATTGTTGAAAATCAAAATTGTGATTCTTTTTAATTTTGATCTTCAATTCAGTGTGAATTTAAAAAACGAAATCAATTACACACCTCATACACACTTATATTTCTTTGTGAATCAGAACTAAAGATTTGGACCAATGGTCAGAGTAAACAACAAAATTTTATTGGTGCATAAGAAAAAGAAAAAAAAAATAAAAGAATCGTAAAAAAAGAGAGAGAAAGAACTCTATCTAACTTTTATTTCCTAAATCTCAACTTATAGTTTATTACAATTATAACTAACTTTAAATTTATATACTCTATCCAAAACTCAATTACAACATAAAATAAAACTTGAATTTAAACTATATTTAACATTTTATAATTTTATTTTTTGATATATTTCGACATCATAAAACTTTTTGTTTTGAATGGCTTATAAGCGCACTTGAGATATATAATTTTGGCTACTAAAAAAATTTGCAAGTCGGTTTGATAGCTCTAAAATATTTTATTTATGGTATGATGCATATGTATCTAGCTAAATATGTTTTTAAAAAAAATCTTAAACTTTATCTAATTAAAAAAGAAAAACCTTGATCTTGATGTCACATGTGTGGAACTGGTTTTTAATATTAAATTATTTTAACAAATTGTCATCTAAGTATGTGTACGTGTGGAACCGGTTTCATTTAGTCCAAATAATAATCTTCAGTGCTTCAAAAACTTTCTAGAACCCACGTCACTTATTAAGATTGGAACATGTTTGGTTTGATCTTTTCATCTATAAAAGAGTCTCTTGCAAGGATCTTCAAGGAGAATATTATCCCTCATAAAATTCTCCAATTTCGTATGGGTAATTATGGTAACTGTGACCCAAATTGATTTCATAGATGTGGCTTAAACTTATGGATTCTGATCGTCAAAGAAAGCCCTCAGAAAACTTAGTTCATTCTAGATTCTTCCTCTCTGGTTTCTATTGTTGGGATTGGGAATTCTTAACCGCTCTTCTTCTCTTTAGTTGTTCTTTCTAGACACAAAATTAAATTTCTTCTGTTTATTTTTATTATTTTCTTAGAGAATATTATTAGGGATTATTAACTAGGTGAAGGGTAAATCGGGAAGAAAATATGTCGCAGCGATCGGTGCCGGCGCCGTTTTTGACCAAGACGTATCAGATGGTGGATGATTTTGCGACGAAGGATGTGATATCATGGAATGAAAGTGGCGAAAGTTTTGTTGTGTGGAAACATGCGGATTTTGCAAGGGATTTGCTTCCTAAGTATTTTAAACACAATAATTTCTCAAGCTTTGTTCGCCAGCTCAACACATATGTATGTCCTTTTTCCTCTCTCCATTTTTTGTTGCCTATGATTTCCACCTACCAATTATTTTTTAGCTATTTTTTAGGTTAAGAACAAGATTTTTTTCTTTTATTTTTTTTCATAGAGTAGGTTTAATTTAACAAGGTTTTCAATTAAAAATTGTCATTAATTTTAAAATTATTCGGAATATTACTTTTATGAATATGTTTGTTAAATTTTTAATATTATTACTATATATTATTTAACTTATAAAATAAATATAAAATTATAAATAAAATATTAATTAATCAATTTATGTTTGTTTTTTTACTTAATATGAAAGCAAAAAGGTGTGTTACTAACACAAAAAAGTTGGGTAAATTTTATTTAGAATATAAATAATATTTAAGAATAATTATTATTATATATGCCGAATGAAAAATATTACAATAGATAAAAAATATTTTTAAATATATTAAATTATAAATATATCCAATTTTTTTCTATCTATCTAACATATTTTAATATATATATATATATATATATATATATATATATATATATATATATATATATATATATATATATATATATATATATATATATATATATATATATATATATATATATACCGGTCCAAAGTACTCTGAAAAATGATTTTTGAGGACCATCATATTAAAAGTTTTTTATCCGAATAGACCCATTCTATTTAAAGCGTGAAAGAAAGGTGCATTTATTTCTCAAAATTGGAATCTGGTTATTTTTTAGAGTTTTAATTTATAAACATTTTTAGTAAATACAAATATTTGCATAGTGTGAAAAGTTTTCTTCATATTATTTTCACATTCATATTTGCAATGAAAAAATGCCAATTACCACATCTTTTGAATTTTCAGGGATTCCGAAAAGTTGTAGCAGACAAATGGGAATTCGCAAACGAAAATTTCAGGCGAGGCAACAAAGATCTCCTCACCGAAATCAAACGCCGCAAAACCGTATCGCAACCGTCGTCACAGCCTCCAGAAACCGAAAAAACCAACGCCAACGGCAACAACTCTCCTTCAAACTCCGACGAAATCAACGGAGTCGGATCCACCTCCACAGTCCGATCAACCTCTTCCTCCAACTCAAAGAACCCCGGATCAGTAGAAACAACACCTCCACAGTGCGTCAATTTATCGTCCGAGAACGAGAAACTGAAAAAGGAAAACGAGATATTGAGTTGGGAGTTAGCACGTGCGAAGCACAAGTGCGATGAGTTGGTGGCTTTTCTAAAAGACCGTTTAAATGTGGGACCCGATCAGATCGATCGCATTATGAAAGAAAGAAACTTTGAACCGGTTCAAAATGCGGTTGGTGAAGGTGAAGAAAATGGAAGAGAAAGTTTGAAACTGTTTGGTGTTTGGTTGAAAGAAGAAAACTATACAGAGAAAAGAAAGAGAAATTGTGAAGAACAATTCGACTTTGGTGGGCCCAGGGCTAAAGTGACTAACAATGTTGTTGACTTTGGTCCTGTCAATGTTGTGAACATGATGAAAAGTGGCAAGATTGCCACCTTTTACAAATAGAATTACTTTTTTTTTTTTAATGGACAAAATTAAAATAAAAGTGTCATCATGAAAAATGATAAGATCACTAAAGTATTATCATGGTTGGGTAGAAAGAGAAAAATTGCTTCCCAATGTTTCTTTTATGTGTTCAAGTTGTGTTAATTTTAATTTACTATAGGTAATATACTTGTATGAATATTAGTTCATAGTTGTTGTAAAGTAGGTACAAATAATCGACCTATGACTTTTTAGGATAATGATGAATTATGGTTGTTGATATTATGTTGTCTGGGTTGGTGATATATTGGTGATAATGGAGAAAATCTCGTATATATTTTAATAACAATAAAATAAATAGTTAAAGGGGAAAAGCACTTAAAAAAAAAAAACTTAATATGTGTGAAATTTATAACTTTCTTTTAACCAGATCAATCGAGATGATCACATTATTTAACACCAAAGTGATAAAAAAAAACAAGAGTTTCTTTGAACGGATTTTAGTTTTTAACTTTTAAAAATCATTTTATAAATTAACTTTTCTTTTTAAACTGAAAAAAAATTGGTAATAGTACTTTTAAATTTTTTTTAAAGTTGCATAATATTATAAATTTGTCATTCATAAAAAAAAATATATTTTTAAATTTTTTAAGTTTTAAAACTAAAATTTTAAAATGAGATTAATTATTATGACTTACAATATAAAAAATGTAAAGTTAATTTATCATCACCATTTGTTTAAATTATTTTATAAGTTTCTAAGATAAAAGTCAAATTTTTTTCAACATCTAATGTCTAAATTATTTTATATTATTAGTGTATTTCAATTAAATTCTTTTAATTTTTTTAAAATTTTTTTAATTTTTAAATATAATTTTATTAAATTAGAAATCAAACAAAATTTATTATTTTTAAAATTTAAAAGTTAAAAGTAATTTTACAAAATCAAATTATACAACCTCTAAATAATCATATTAAGAAAGAACGAGTACCAAGAAGTGTAGGGTCGGCCGGTGAATTTTAATAAAATTTTACAAAAATGATATTCTTACACCCATTTTTACACCCAATATTTACACCGTATGCACTGTTCACCGTATTTATACGGTGAACAGTATTTTTTTATTAAAATAATATATATTTTTTAAAATATTAATTTTTTTAAAAAAAAATATTTATTTTTAAAATTTATTTTATAACACAAATATAGTATTGCGCATTAACCAATTTCAGAGTTGCATTAACCACAAAAATCTACATCATTAACCAATTATTTTACCTATAATTTATTAACCACTTTCACTGCTTCATTAACCAATAAAATACACACTATTAACCATATTCTGAAGAATTTGATTAAGTATTTGTGAACAGTGAATTGGGTGTAGGGTGTAGAAAATGGTGTCAACATAGCAATCCTGAAAATTTTATTAATCATCATTTTCATATTTTATATAATTTTTTACTTTTTCAAATATTATTTTTTATTTTTAAATTTAACATTTATGAATAGAAATTGATCTAAAGGAACAACTGTCATTATTTTTATCTGTTGGACGATAACTAAATAAACATTTAGATGTCAACCTAATATTTATTTTAATTTAATTGCAAATTTTTTTATTATTTTTTTTATTTTCTCATTTAAAAAATATTATTTAACTTTCTATTTTAAGTTTCGAGTTTAATTTTAATCTCCTCTCCATTTTAAGACCTATTTTTAATGATATGGCATGTTCAAAGATTACGTGGTAATGTCATCATTTAAAAATTCATCTTCTTCACCAAATATATTGCACGTTATATATTTGTCAATTTAAAAATAAATTATTTATTTAAGTTTAACATTAATTTAAATTATATATTAAAATCACTTCAATCAAAACGTTTTTAGTCATTCAATTTTTCTCTCAATGCATATTACTCATGTGAGATATTGGATCGAACTCTAGTTAGCATGTCGTCGAAGTTTGTTCATATTATATTGTCGAAGACCTACATGCATGTTGTAGTCGAATTGTGTTCTAGTATATAGTTGTCGAATTGAGTCTTGTGTTAAGGATCCAATTGTTTAAGTTAGTTTGTAATAGATAATTGTTAAAAAAACTTATTAGTTTAGTATGTTAGGTTTTACTATAAATAGCATACTACACTATTAAAAATAAGACATTTGGTTGAATAATTTTACATCAGATTTCAAGATATATGATGTGAAAAATATTTGTCAAAGGATTTTACATCAGATTTATTAACAATATGATGTGAAAAATATTTGATTTAATGATTTTACATCAGACATATATTTCCATGATGTGAAAAATAACGCGGTGACAATGTCGTAAATAATAAAAAAATTTGTTATAAAGGATTTTACATCAGGTCATTTAACCCAACCGATGTAAACAGTTCTGAATAAAAAATAAATAAAATGGGTTAAACATTTTATATCGGATCTTTTACACCAACCGATGTAAAAAATAACGCGGAGGCAGTTTCGTAAATAATAAAAAGTTATTATAAAGGATTTTACATCGGTCCGTTTACCCCAACCGATGTAAAAAGTACCTCAATAAATAAATAAATAAAATATATTAATTAAATATTTTACATCGGGCCATTTATCTCAACCGATGTAAAAAGTACCTCAATAAAAAAAAATATTAATTAAACATTTTACATCGGGCCACTTATCCCAACCGATGTAAAAAGTTCTAAATAAATAAAATGGATTAAACATTTTACATCGGGTCATTATCCCAACCGATGTAAAAAATGGTTTGAAGGATTTTACATCGGTCCTTTAATTACAATCGATGTAAAAAGTGTCAAACCTTAACATGATTTTACATCGGTCCATTAACATGATGCAATGTAAAATGTTTTAAGTTAAAGGATTTTACATCGGCCCATATGCCAACCGATGTCAAATCTTCCTTAAAAGCCAAAACCCTACCCGTAATGTTTACATTCTCAAAATTCTAAAACTTATTTTTCTTCTTCTTCCTTAAACGCTCCGTCATTTTTGTTCCACCTTCTTCTTCCATCGTTCCTCCGTCGTTTTTCTTCTTCTTCCTTAAACTCCCCGCCATTTTCGTTCCACCTTCTTCTTCCACCGTCCCTCCGCCGTTTTTGTTCCACCGTCACCATCTTCTTCTTCCACCGTCCCTCCGCCATTTTCGTCCGCCTCCGTTCTCCTTCCACCATTTTCGTTCGCGTCAGGCCTCCCTCCGACATTTTTGTTCGCGTGGTTCTCCCTCCGTCATTTTCGTTTGCGTGGTTTCTTTAAGGTATCTTTAACACTATATTATTTTACTGTTTTTAATAATAACTTTTTGTAAGAATTCTGGATTTTGAAATTTAGTGTGTAGAAAATTTAGTTTGTTTCATATATTTTCAACATCATATTGTTAAATATAGTAGTGATATTTTTAACAAGTAATGTGTAGAAAACTTAGTGACAACCTTACACTGCAATTTTTAACATCATATTGTTGTTTAAATTAGTAGTGATATTTAACATAACGTGATTTCATATGGTAAAATACCAATTTCTCATTATTTGGATAAATTCTTAGGAGAAACAACCTTGTGCTTGTTGGCTTAGAGAGACAACCTTGAGCTTTTTCTACTTTCTAGTACTCTTCCGGTGATAACAACGATCTATATGGTATCTTTAACAGTACATAATTTTACGGTTTATAATAATAGCTTTTTGTAAAAATGATTGAAATATTTTGATGTCAATTTGGTTTTATTTGCGTTAAAATTGAAGATAAAAATGTTAAATAATTTTGATGTTAATTTAGTTCTATTTGGATTAAAGTTGAGTAATAGAATTTTTATGATAATACCATTTTGTTAGGAATAATTTTTATGATTTAATTTAATGTCACGTGTTTGCACGTAGAGATTTATGTTCTCTCTAATGTGTCCAAAAGAGGGACTATTGTAAGCGTAACAATGATTTAACTCTGTATGTGTTAATTTCGGAACATAGGTATGGATCGTGGTTGGATGAGAGCTAATCGATTAAGTACTGAGTACGAACATGGAGTGATGGAATTTATACAGTTTGTTGAAAGTAATGCTAAAAAAAATCTTCCTCCTCCTAAAAGTAATGTTGAAAAAATTCATTATGTGCTTTTTTTCTGTCCATGTGTTCGTTGTGCAAATGAAGAACTAAAACTTAATAAGAAAAAAATTATGGATCATCTAAAATGTGAAGGGATTTGTCAAAGTTATACACAATGGATATGGCACGGTAAAGTAGTAGCAAAGTCAAATGTGTCCCAAAGAGATAATGTTAGTGTAGAAATGGATGATCGTCTGGAAGACATGATGCATGATATTGGACAAGATTCGCTTAAGAGGGCACATGCGTATGATACTTTATGCAGTGACAAGGATAAACCTTTGTACCCGGGATGCACAAATTTTACACATTTGTCAGCTGTGTTAAAATTGTTTAATTTGAAAGCAAATAATGGATGGACTGACAAAAAATTTATCGAATTGCTTGAATTGTTGACATAAATGCTTCTAGAAGGTAACGTAATGCCAAATCGTTATTACGAGGCGAAGAATTTATTGTGTTCGATGGGTTTGGAGTATGAAAAGATACATGCATGCCCTAATGATTGCATACTATACATAAAAGAGTATGTAAACTATAATCATTGTCTGAAGTGCAAGGCGTCACGCTACAAAAAGAAAGATGGTGATTCTAGTGATGATGAGGTGGTCAAAAAGGGTCCTCCCACGAAAGTAGTATGATACCTACCAATAATTTCAAGGTTCAAGAGATTATTCGCTAATGCAAATGACGCAAAGAATCTTAGATGGCATGTAGAAGAAAGAAAATGTGATGGACAAATTTGTCATGTAGTTGATTCTTTGTAATGGAAGAAAATAGATTCTTTGTTTCCAAAATTTGACAAAGAGTCGAGAAACCTTAGACTTGGGCTTTCTACTGGTGGAATGAATCCATTTGGTAATCTAAGTACTAACCATACTTCTTGGCC